CTGAGGCGGGCTCTTGTCCAGGGTGCCCCCCAACACCCTGCCCAACCACCAGGAGCTGGGGCAGTCCCCACCCCAGTACTTATGTCACCTATACCCATATAATTATCATCCTCTGCTCCTTCCTTCCCAGGCACACCCTTTTCTTCTGTACTGAGCCCCGGAGGGCCTCATGCAGAGACCACACGCCCTTTGCATCCAGCCCCCAAGACCCACAGTGAGTATGTCCGTGTGGATTCAGAATTAATATTTGGCATGAAGGCTTGAACCCAACGTGTAAAGTGCTGTTCTTGTATAGGAGTCACAGTGTTTCCTGTGCCCACGTAGGGTGCCTGTCCCCCATCCGCATCATTTGCTTACTTGCTTGGTGAGTGTCAGGCTAAGCCCCTGGCCGTGGGCCTCTGTGAGGCAGAAGGGGGGCCCACAGCACCGGAGCTGCCCCTGCTGCAGGATGGCCACGCGGTCGCTGAGCGCCTCTGCCTCATCCAGGTGGTGGGTAGTGAAGATGACCGTCCGACCTGTGTCAAGAAAGGGGGCATCAGAATCACACACAAATGCCCAGAGGGGTGCTGTCATCTGTTCTTCCAAAGGGAGCCCTGGGAGATGATTTAAATCATGGCCAGCTTTCAAATCAGAAAACCATGATCTGTAGCAGTTACTTCATCATAGGTCAGTTTCTCTGAGCCTCCACGTCCCTGAACCAGGGGGGTGCCCACACTTCCCCAGAGGGTAGAGCTGAGCCATGGAGCACACAGTCCCTGTGTCCAGCCTCCACCTCCACCCTGCTCTGAAAGTTCCAGAGGCAGGTCACTGAGCAGATGTAGCTGGTGGCCATCTCCCTCTGTCCCTCTGATTTTGGACAATCATCTCATTCACTAAGAAGAAGACCACATCTTGGAAGAAAAGTAAATGCTGTGCTAAGGCAGGGGAAGCAGCCGCGGTGCATGCTGACACCCTCTGCAGTCTGGGTGATGTCACTGCACACGTGTCTCCATCACATGTGCCCCTCCATGGAGAGGTCAATGGCAGCCTGGCCCTCCAGAGTGGGGAGGGTGGGGACAGCCAGCAGGGAGGTGGGGTCCTGAGCCAGGGCCTCCCCAGAAATAACAACATCACTGAGCCCCATGAACATGGCCACTTTCCACATTAACAAATGTGGAGTTCTTATGTCCCCCATCAATTCTAGCATCTTGTCAGGTTTTGCCACCTCTGCTAGAGGAGGATAAGGCTCAGATTCACCTCAGGAGGGAGGAGCCCGATACTGTAAAAGAAGTTTCTGTAATGTTTACTCCAGTCACATAGACAGATCTTGGGGCTTTTAGCTCTGACATGTGCCCCACTGGCCTACACCAGTCGAGCCCAATTCTGTCAATTCTAGTTTATAAAATAGAAATAAATGAAAAGACCAGAATTCTCTTTTTATTTTTTTTCTTTGAACAGGCATCTAAAAATAAACCAGAAACTGTAGACCCAAGAACAGCAGGCAGGGGTGGGCCCATGGCACCCACACTCTCCACAGCTGTGTCCCCAGTACCAAGTCCATCTTCCATACATGGAAGTCTTCAAAGCTAAGAAAACACACTCAGTCCCTCATCTGGGGTCAGGGGCAGCTTGGACACAACTATTAGCTCTACCTTGCAGCTCAGGTGATAGGTCCCCATACAGTGAAGGAGTCTAAGATAAAAGTCACCTGTAATGTAAACTCCAAAAATATGCAGATTGAGTTCACAGATTTTGATTCATGATGGTTTCTCAGTGGACATTAAGGAAACTTAAGATACATCCCAAACTTCCATCAAATGGTATGTTCTGCCTACTCTCCTCCAAAAATGGTACTTCCCAAATTCACCCTCTCTTGTCCCTTTTAATTAAGATGATGACCTGCCCTCGACTGAGCACCCAGCCATGTGCTTCCATATACAAAATCCTGCGAGATGGTACAAAGTGTCTCCATTTGCAAATGGAAAAACTGAAGCCCAGAGGAAGGTGATCATTTCTCCAGGGTTGTACAGGAAGTGTAGGTAGGAGTGTGATCATGCAGAGGAATTTAGTTGTCCTGCACTCATCTGCTCCAGGATCTTTTCCTTCCCTATTTCTCCTTCTACAGAGGGTTTAAAGTACTGGTGCCAGGGCTGAAGGAGAGCTTGCTCAGCACTGCATGTCATAGCAGACACATAGCCTGAGTAAAGTCCAGGGGCTGAGCCCTGATGGACTGACATTGCTTTAGAGAATCTCTTCCTACCCAGCGGAAACCTTTGTTTTTGTGCATTCCTTAGACTCACCCCACAAAGACGTGGCACAGTTACCTGTAGGCTTGGGACTGTTTCCAGAAAGAGCTACACATTCTGATGCTTGAAAATGTATTTTTCTTCTAGTACCATCTATGTGATCCGTTTACATCTTATTGATTTTGCACTGCGACCAGTGCAGAGACTATAGCAAAGGAGCCTCCACAGACAAACACCTCTGCTAAACAGCCAAGGACAGTGAGAAAAGATTTCAGGTGTAATGACAGATTTTGAAGAACGCTGTTTCTGAGACTTTCATCACATCTGGTTTCTATCCATAGCTGCTAGTATGCTCACGACTCAAATGTTCTGTCAGCCAGCCCTTGAAGATTCCAACTTTGGCTTTCACAGCACACAAGTAGCAGGCTGGAGGGACTCACTCACACCGCAGCTCACACAGGCAGGGACGATGAAGTCTATTCATTCCCTGTCTCCTTCATCAGCCCCACTCAGGGTGGCAGGGAAATTATTTAATCCAGCCTAATTAGTTTTAATCTAAAAATGTCAGCAGTCTCTTTCAGAGGAATACAGTCTCTTGCATAGAAAGGTCACAGTTTCTCACTTCTGGTCCTTCTGTTTCTCTCCCCAAAGGACATTCAGGCAAGGGAAACCTGGGCCTTGTGGTCTGGTGGCAGTGGGAAGGGTTAGGATCTACAGGTGCGGTGTGCTCAGCATCCTGTGGGCTCCAGGTGATGGCCGAGGCCACCTGCTGCTGCCCCATCCCTACCTTTAGGGCTTGAGCAGGTCAGAGCACAGAGCTCCCTGCTCTCTGGGCCTCACCTGAGCCCAGGTAGCCACCAGCCCCAAGTCTCCCCCAAGCTTCCAGGCCCATCCCCTACTCTGGGGCAGCATTCCCGCAGTCCCGCCCCCTCTCAGTGCCACACCTGGGGACCAGGGAAGTGAGGGGCACCAACTGCGGTGCTTCCCAGGACCCGGCCCTTGGCTCATCCTCACAGACTTTGATGCGGCTGCACAAGGTCAGAGGAGCCCACGCCCTTGACACAATCTCACTCCTCTGGTGTACCGCCCACCCCAGGCCAGTGCCTAGAAAGGAATAGGAAGCCACGTCTCCCTGCATTTTCCTGCCTCCTCCACACCCTCCTCCACTTCTGGGACAGAAAGACATGGGACTGTCCTTTCGTGTCCCCTTTGTGCCATCCTCCCTCCCTTTGTGCCAGACTTTGACTAAGCTTTAAATGACAGACAGGAGCATCTTGATCACCTTAAAGAGAACTGGATGGCCCAAGTCTTCTGGATGTAGCCCTCCGACTGCTAAAAGACAGGGGGGCTTCCTCCTGGTCCCTTCTCAGCATTTCCTAGGTAGCAGATCTCAATCTCCCCAGGGAGATGGAGACTCCAGGTCAAATCAGAAGGAAATTTTGTACTCAAAAGGCAAAAAAGAACACCAAATGACCTTTAACAATTCCTGAAGTAACCCTGCCGCCTCACTCTCCCACCCTTGCTCAGCAGTCCACACGTGCCTCCGCAGCCCCATAGTTTCTCCCCAATGTGGGTGTCTCCGACGGAAGACCTCCAGCAGGCTTCCCAGCCCTCGGCCTCACAGAAAGAGTCAGAAGCTGGGAATGAGTAACTGCCCACCTGGTGCCCTAAACTGGAAACACCTAACAACACCGGGGAGATGCAAGGCCTCGAAGCCAGGCCCTCATCCCCCGCTGGGCTCAGAGAACTTGCTCTGAATCACATGCCCCTCTCTGTGCCTCAGTATCCTCACCTGAGAAAAGGAGGGCTCGTTCCAGATTATAGTGAGGATGCCTCTCCTAATAATCTGTGATTCCAGAGTGGAACACAATGTGGATGAATACAATTTCAATTAAAACCACATATAGCATGCATTGATAACACCCACTTGCATCACTTTAGGAGCTCAGACACAGGTCAGGAATTCCTACAACTGTGGAGATGTCACACTACAGATTGACCTCTAAGCTCTTGCAAAAATGTCTTTCTGAAGAGGCGATGTATCCTTACAGGATGACCTGGTTCTGCACATGCGATGACGTCCTCTTCCTGGGCCCCAAAACTGCGGGAAGACAAAGCAGAAGGAGGCCGGTGCCTACCTTGCCGGTACTTGAGGAGGATGTCCCAGATGCCACGGCGGGAGCACGGGTCCACCCCACTGGTGGGCTCATCCAGAACCACAGTCCGTGATGGGCCCACAAACGCGATGCCAATGCACAGCTTCCTCTTCATGCCTCCGGATAGGACACAGGTCTGTTTGTGCCGGTGCTGCATTAACTCCACATCCTGAAGCGTTCTGAAATGAAAACAAAGATGTCACTCTTCTCCCAGAAGTCTTAATGCTCCACTTCCAATTTCACTCATAAATGACTTGCAATGACCAGGATCTTTATAAGTCACTGGCACCCTGAGTCCTGACATAGCAGCGTCACCTTCCTGAGGTTCGGATGGAACCCTGCCAAAGGACTAGTCATGACGCCTGCTCAGGGGGCTTGCCAAGTATTCTTTTTAGAAACATTTGTCTCCTCTCTGGAAAGTATCTTTTCCTTCCACTCAAACCTCCTGCCAAGACACCTACATTGCCCCCACGCACTGGTGAGGATGGTGGAATGGCCAGTGCGCTAGTGCGCTGGAGGAGAGAGGCCCAGCTCACGGCACCCCAGCGGGTGGTCTGGAGAGGCCCCAGACTCTGGCCCACATGCTCTAAACTGGACCAGCCCACCTTCCAGCTGAGTTATTGGGAGGTTTCCAGGAAACGCCATGTGCAGAGTAGAAATGATAAGACACATTAATGTGGGAACAAGCCCTCTAACTCTGGGTGATTATTCAGTCTCAAGAGTCATGGTTTAGTATCCCCAGCACAAAGCCAACCTTCCTATGTGAAGTGTCACCTCCTTCTATAGGTCCATGACCTCCTCACAGGCAACCTGTCCACTTTCAGCCGAGGCACCCATTCACTCTGTACAGATGCCTACCCCTCCTGTCACCTCCAAGCCTTACTCATTGCTGGACATCCACTTCGGCAGCACCTTCCCCAAACCTGTCAGTGAGCACTCAGACCAACGCTGACTCCTCCCAGCTGAGGAGTAGGCGATGCACAGCTTCCCGATTGCCAGCAGACAGTCAGAAGGAGAGGACTGGGCGAGAGGGACCAACGGCATGGTCCACACTGCCGAGCTTCAGGAAGCACTGGGTCCTAGAAAGTTGTGGAATCCTAAGCAAAGATGTGGGTGAAACCCCAAGAACTGGCTTGCCTGATCACTAAGTTAATGTCCCAGGTCTGTTTCATGTTTATATACTCCCATCCTTATCCCAAGGGGCAGGCCAGCTCCTCAGTGTCTTGCTCAGCCTATGGGCTCTCCTTTACTCCAAGGTTGCAGCACCTCCCCTACCGGTAGCTTCACCCTGCATTTACAGTGGTGTCATGCGCTCCTGCTTTCCATCCCCAGTTAGACACGCCACCAACACCTCCCCACCTGGGTGATGCCAGCACAGCCGAGGAGGAGTCCCTGGTGAGCCCAGCTTAGTCACGTTAGCCAGAGAGCAATTGGCTGAGCAAGCAAACAGAAAGCCACATCAGGAAGATGTCAGATGTTCCCAAAGTGCAGATATAATAACTTGCTGTGTTAAATCAAACCCCTCTGCTCTGTTTGTTTTAAGTCAACCCGATCTCAGCCACTTACCACAAGCTACACTGGACCTTCCAAATCACAGCTATCCAGTCCCAATGCCAGGCTCCCTACTCTGACCACCACGTGTTAGCCAGCTAACCCCTGCCACCAGCCCTCCCCACCCCCACAAAGCTCCACAGTCCACTGCCACCTGGAGGCACCTCCTCCTCCCTGGGTTGTGGCCCCTATGCCCAACTGCACCCCCATATCTTGGACAGCAGCCCTGCTCCTGCAGTTGCTTCACCCCTTGGGCAGGTCCACGCCTGGCAGGCCACTTCCTCTCTGCCCCAAACACTCACTCTGGGTCTGAAGCATTGTTTCACGTGGACACTGGCTTGTGTCTCTGTTCTCTTTTGTAGCAAAGCTCCCGGGAAGAAGTTCCACTTCCAACTCCACCTTCCATCCTCTGACTTCTCCCCATCTGACTGTGACAGTTGCTGTGGTCAAGGCCCCCAGTGACCTCCACGTACTAAACCCAAGGTTTAAACTTCAGTCTTCATTTGACTTGACCTCAGCAGCACCTGATGCACATGCCCCTGCCTTCTCCCTGCTGACCTTGCCTTCCCTCCCTGGGTCTCCACCCTCCATGCTGGAGTGTCCAGGGCTCAGTCTTTCATGCCCGTGTGGCTACCTGCATACATGACCTCCACCATCTCATTACCACCCAACAAATCAATTCAAATCAGCCTCCACCTGAGTCCCGTGGTGCACGCCAGAATTTCAAGGGCTCATGTGAACTACATGACGTCTCGTAGACTCAGTGGCCTGATAAAGCTCCTCTTTGGACTTTCCTTATCTTCCCGAGGCCAAATTATGGGCCACCCAGTAACGGCCTGACTCTTGACAAACATTCACTCTAAACAGTCCCCCAGGGATCCTACCTCTCGAACGCACATTTTGATCAAGCTGCACATTCAGGAGCCCCAGCAGGTGCTACCACAGCCTGATACAAGTGTGTTGGCTTTAAACCAAATGCTTTCAGTTTTCACTCCCTCTAATTGAGAACTACTGTCCTAAAACATGATCTCACTCCCATTGCTTTTGTGCAAATTGGCTGCGTTGCTAGGTAACACACAGCCAACTGATAACTATTAAGCTGGTCTGCTCCCAAATAAGACAAAGCCCCTGTGGCTTTGTTAGGGACCTGATTTAGGTCCAATCACAATCACATAGTTAGCTGTGGTACAGAGCAGAGGCACTTTTTTAATTAAAATAGGTGACCTGTGACTTGTTTTTAAAAATTAGGTTGCACATACCCAATTTTCCCTTTACTAATGTGAGGCCATTTCTCATGAAGTACCCACTCCGATTTAGGATAGACTTAAATCGCACAAAGTAAGTGTTTCCCCTGTATATCCAAGCCTCCGCTGTCATTAGTATGATTATTATAATAGCCACTTCTAAAGACGTAGGGAGATGTGAACCAGCCGCCCCCTCTGCAGTACAGAACAGCCTCAGATACCCACTGAACCTGCCCACAGTGTGAGCTCTGAGACAGGGGAAAAGAAGAAACCAGCATACATAAAATGTGCAGCACCATCCAGGATTTTATGGACATTTCCCAAGAGGTTTGTTCCATCAGCTCAGACTTAATTCACATGTGACCCTCAGGGTGTGAGTATCTACCCAGCAAGAGCTTTGATTTGTTCCCACCATCCTACAGCCTGTCCCGAAGCCCAACAATGGATTTCAAGCTGATGCGAGCCAAGACCCCGGCCTGGTGGGTGCCTCTGGAGAAGCACACCACCACCGTCCAACGTCACTCTCCACAGGAGATCTCAGGGTCACCTACAGCATGGGCTTCCCTGACACTCCGCTTTCAGACCCTGACCCCTGAGTAATACACGTGCCTCCCCCACATGGTGGGTTTGCTGTCTGGTTTTGTTGTTTCTTATCTCCAACAAGACAACACTGCAGTACTGGCTAGCTGCCTCTCTGGGATCCCGTGTGTGCAACTGGACCATCTCTGACCCCATTACAGGAACTGATGGTCCAGACACAGGCTCTGTAGTGAGCCAGGCTCCTTCGGTCCCCATGCCATGGTGGTGTGCCCACCTGCCATGGCTCAGGGACTGTATTTTTAAGTTATTGTCACCCTTGTTCACTGTCTTCACTCCTCAGACTCATGGAACCCCCTAGTGGGGGTCTGAGCCCCAGCTGGGGCACTGAGGCCAGAAATTGGGCCAGAGTACCACTTCCCTTCCTCCTCCCAGCAAGCCTGCACATCCCAGGTGCCTATACCCCAAGATTCTGCAGCTCAGCAACCGACCCAGGGGAGAGGAGCCATGTGAACCTTGCCCTGGGGGGTCTAGGCCAAACCCTGCCTCCCTGAACCTCAGCCCCCTCATCAGGTACAGGGCCCTACCTGTGTGCCTATTGCGCAGGAGTGCCCACACATGTCAGATGCCTAGAGCTTGGCCCCAGGGGTACCCAGGGAAGAGAGGTGCTAAACAAGTGCCTGTTCTCCTGTTACCACGTGGACAGCGTGGGCCAGGCTGGGAGCTCTGCTGGCTGCTGGGCCCTGGCTTTGGACACCTCTTCCCTCAAACTCTCCTCAATAAACCAATTCCCCATTTTCTTCTCACTCCACTCCCCAGATTGGCTCTCTTATTTTGAGAAACAATACCACGTTCCACTTGCCTGGGCAGAAACCTGGGACTGTCCCAGGTCCCCTTTGCTCTCAACCCCACATTGGGTCAGCCCCTCTCCTGCCCCCTCACCCTCCTTGGACCCTTCTGGCCCCTATGCCCTTACAGCAGAAGCCCCCTGCCTGGTGACAGCCTCTGCCCAGACAAGTGGGGCCACTTTTCCAGGTCCCTCAGCAATGCCAAGTGTCCTCACACCAGCTGGCTGTCCATAGGACAAACTCTAAAGCCAAGGGGGATGGAAAGGTGGACCAAAGCAGGGATTAAGTGCAAATGGCCAAGAGGAGTGTGGAACTCCACCTCCAGGAAGATCAACAAAGATGCATGGAACACATAACGGTCTTAAGGCTCGTCCTTCCTTTGTTTGTTACTGAACCATGAAGGTTGAATTCCAGTAAAGTGGAAACACACGTTTTTTTATGTTTCTTGTGCTGAAGAAATAGGGTCACACAGAATGAAACACCAAGACCCTGCATCTTTGCCTTCATTAATGAAATGCAGACTATAAATACTAATTTTTAAAAATTAAGCTGGCAAAACTATTCTTAGATAACAATAAGCAGTAATGAGCAGCAGTAACCAGCTTCCTGTTTTCCTGAGATCAGTACAGTTAATCATGCGTGTTTACACATGGGCCACCACCCCTCCCAGCAACTCTTCTGCTTTGTGCTGTCAGTCAAACTGAGGGTACCCAGAGTCCAGCTCCGACCTCCTGGCCCAAGGCCACACCCCTCAGACAGGGCAGCTGCCCACCTGACCACTAACTATTTCCCCAGTCAATGGCTCTGCATGGGATACCTGCTTCCACCCCCCACTGCCCTTGACTCAGCTGCCCCACCACCCGCTCCATCCTCCCAGCCTCCTCTCCCTGAAATGCCACCTTGTGTTCTGGCCACGGGCCCTTGGCTTCTCCCCTCTCCCTGTTGTCCAAGCATGTGTCTGCCTCTGGGAGGGGCTCTCCCTTTGCCACCGGTTCCTGGGTCTCCCCCTCCCACCCCTCCCCAGATGCGTGCTCTCCGCTCAAGTCTTCCTCATGTGGTTCCATGTGGAAATGCACTCAGCTACCACCTCAACTCCCCCCTCCCTACTTTGGGCAGCCAGGTGGTCATAGGACCTGCCCCTTCAACTCTCAACAGCCTCCAAATCTGGACCCCACCCCACTGGCACAGCTGTGAACCAGGCTCTCACCACCACCTGCTCACATGGCTCCTCTGTCTCCAGCCTCCCCGTGGCCATGCTGTCTGCTCTGCTGCGACAAGACAATCTTCTCAGTCACAGGCTGCTGGCCCTCCCCTGCCCGTGACCACCTACTTGCATGGGAAATTCCAGCACCTCTGCATGACCAGTTGGGCTTTGTACAGCTGGCTTTCCATACCCCCAGTTCTGTCATTCAGGACACCCCCAAGAACACTTGTTCTAGACACCACCAACCTGTGCCTTACTCCCCACCTGTGCTTATATGTGCCCACTTTCCCACCCTTGCTCACCTGTACCCACTCCCCACCTCTGGCCTCCTGCACCCCACTTTTCTACTTGCACTCACCTGCACCCACCTGTGCCCCTCTCCCCACTTGTGCTCACCTGCGCCCACTTTCCCACCTGTGCTTACCTGAGCCCTACTCCCCACCTGTGCTCACCTGAACCCCACTCCACCACCTGTACTCACCTGCTCCCACTCCCCACCTGTGCTCACCTGAGCCCACTCCCCACCTGTTGTCCCCTGTGTCCTTCACCCCACCCATGCTTACCTGTGTCTCACTTCAAAGACAAATCACATCAAATTCAATGTCTTCCCTGAGAAGCCCTCTCTGTATGCCCAGTGTAGGAGGCTGTCATAACCCACACAGTTAAAACTGTTTGCTAAATTCTCTCTTCTCATAAAGACACCAAAGACTTTTCCAAAGTGTCCCCTTCATGCCCTTCCCCAGTTTACAGGGGGCAGAGGGAGCAGGGGACACCAGTACTGACTTATCGACATGCTGGCGGAGCTCGCTCTGGGTCCACTGTGGTGCCTTGATGGAAGCGAAGAGCAGCAGGTGTTCCAGGACAGTGAGGTTGTCAAACAGGATGTCCTGCTGGGGACACACCCCCAGCTCCATTCTGATCGTGGACAAGTCTGTCTGCATGTTCTTGCCATTGATGATGATGGCCCCAGAAGTGGGAGGGTAGAGTCCTGTCAGCATGGATCTACCAGAGAGGATAAGTCAGCAGGGTACACAAGAGGGCTGCCCAACACCAGCAACCCGATGGCTCCTGAGCAATGCTCACATCCTGTGAGGAGCACACCCTGACCTGTTCTCTACACAGTCAATGAAAAGTTGGAATGTTGTTGTCTGTCCTGCTCTTAGACATGTGGGCTTATGATAGATGTTGCAACATAGACTAGTATGGCTACACGGCAGATTATAAATCCAACTTTTCTTTTACAGATGAGACAGGTATAGAAACAGCATATTCCCTAGTCCTCATAACCAGACAATGCACGGACCTGGACGCCCAGCACTGCAGCCAGGCCTTCCTTCTGCCATGCCTGCTCCCATCCCTGCCCATCACTACAGCTCAGTGGCTCATCTCTGGAAGCTCACTGGTCTACTTGACCAAAGGAAGCCTGAGGACTGCCCAGCTCTGCTGCCTTGTTTCAGGAAGTTTATTTTTTAAGGTTTTAGACTGATTTCTTACTGCTAAAAAATTACACATGTACCTTCCATGGTACGCAGCAAATCCATTCCTGAGGACTTATGCAACTGACAGTAACACTTGCGTGTCCACAACCGTGCTAACACGATTGTTCTGCCAACAACTGGAAACAACCTCAATCTCACCAACAGGGGAAAGGATAGAAAGCATGGTGCTTCCTCAGAGTGGGATCCTAAGGGCCCAGCAAATGATTTGCCATGTTGTACCCAGTGAAAACTGCCAGGCATGATCCCTTTTATGAAATTCCAGAACATTCCAGGATATGCAAACTGTTTACAGTGACCAATTGCGGGCTGTGGTCCCTTGGGGGCCACGGTCACAGTGGGCATGGGGAACCTCAGAGAGAGTGGGAATTCTCTACACACTTGAACAGTATCATTTCTCATACATGAATTACACCTCCACCAACTTGCTTATCAGCTGTTTGCTATTTTATTTGCAAACTTCTTTGGGAACACCGTAGATCAGGGTGTACACATTCTATATGTGTCTCAGAGCTTTTTTATTTTAAATACTGACAACCTGTCCATTAACTGCCCTTTCAGCCTGTTGTCTGAGAGCTGCCAGGGAGGGACAACCCTGTAGGATGACTCAGATGCACTTCAGACACACACTGAGGGCGATGCAGTCAGGGACCCTCAAGCATCATAGAGAAGCTCCCTATCTAATACTCGTCATTCCACTTAACACCAACACCAGATTTTCCTTGTAAAAAATGTGCATTAGAGTACATGTGGAATGCTGGGTTTCTGAGTAATTATTCACATAATGTTTATCTTCCCCATCTGAAAACCCTAAAAATCTACTCAGCGGAATCTTCAGCTCTGTTTCAGCATCTGAGGAAAGAAGAAAACATTCCATTTCTTTTCTTTCCATTTGTTTTCTATATGAGATCGCTGAAAACTGATAAATATTATTTTTCCACCTTTCTTAGTATGTTCAAAGCAAATAGTCCTTTTCACTTTTTTAACTAAGCATACTTTAGTCCTCCTAAAAAGGAACAAAAAGGAAGTGACTCGTTTAAAAGAGAAATTTGGCCATTTTGGTGGGTTAGCCCTACACAAGTCCATTTGCATAGCCAACTCAGGGCTGCTTTGTGAATCATGAACATTTGACTTCATTATTCTCTGGGATCACCTGACTTGATTCCTCTGTCAATCTGGATCTCAAACCAAAAGTCAAGTCTTCAAAAGAACATCACCACACAAAATGCAGAACAGGAAAAAATAATACTCAGGTATTTAAAAAATTTGAAAACATCATTCCAAACTTCATCTTCCTTTAATAGGCAAACAAAATAAAACTTAGTTGTAGGAAAATGAAAAGTGCCATAGGATTTCAAAATCTAAAGTCAAAACATGGTAAATTACTTACAGGGAACAAAAGAAGAATTAAAGAAAAATAATCCACCTGCCACCCCTCTGAGTCAGCTGCAGACCATGGGGCAATTTCCAGGCATGGGCACAGCCACTCTGGGGGGAGGGCTGGCTTCCCTTGGTCTCTAACCCCTGTACTGAGACTCAAACACAAGGAGAAGAAAGGACATGTAGCCTCCTATCTCACAGGTAAACTGAGGGTTTTAAGAATCAAAGGCCCTTGTTCATGAAGGCGAAGCAGACGTACATGACGGTGGTCTTCCCGGCACCGTTGGTCCCCAGCAGGGCTGTGATCTGGTGTCTGTGGAAGGTGAGCGTCAGGTCTTGCACAGCCGCCTTGTGGCCCTTGTATACCTTAGTCACAGATATCATGCGGACACCCAGGGAACCTCCTTCATGCTTTCCTTTCCTGTTTTGCTGCAATGACCCTGAGAGGAAGACACAAATTCACCCAGAGAAGACTTCGGGGGGCCCCAAAATGATGCTCATGCTTTGTAATGTCATATTCCACCCTGCCCTTGGATTCTAGCTCTGTGAGAACACAGAGATTCAAAAATCCTCTTCACCAAAATCAGGAGGCAAATTATATAACGGCAAAATTAAATGAATCACTGATTATAAGGTTTGTATCCTCATGTCATTCATTTTGTAGGTAAATAAAAATAAACACACCCATGTGTGTCTGCAGAGGGAAAATGACAGGCAGGTTACACACCAAAATGGCCATGAGGGATAGTCTCCCAAGAAGGCGAGCACTTATAGGCACATGTTGTGTTCCAAATTCTCTAAAAAATGCACATATGCTTAGAGGGGGCTGTAAACTACAGGTAACCCCCTGGGGTTCTTGGCCCACCAGCTAAATATCATGGGGGATTCTTTCTTGCAACCTGCTAGATGTTCTCCTGAGCCCACAGCACCTGAGGGGAGGCCGCTAGGGGGCGGTGCACACAGTTACAGAGGCTCAACCAGAACCGAAAACAAGAACCAAGGCTGACCAGAAGGTAAACGCTGCGTCCAGTAAAAGCAGTCTTCACAAACCTTACCGTCAAAGTTCTCAGTGGAGAAGATGCCAGAACCCAGAGCACGCTGTCTTCTCACCACCAAACCACACAAAGTCTTCCAATACGATGTGGTGAAGGGAAAATACCATGGTTTCCTTAAACCAAAAGTTCCTAAAAAATAAGATACAATTAAAATCAGTTTAAGTTTTTTACTCTTTAGAAGAATATCCTTATAATAGAACATCTTAACTAATTAATATAAAATGGTATGTCATGTTAGCGTGGCCCATGCATATCCTGTGTAGGAACCAGTGACTATCCGAAGCTCAGTGTTAACCGCAGAGTGCGGGGCCGCCTTGCAGCCTGCCCCAGGGCTGTGGACAATGCCCCTCTCATCCACTTCCCCAGGAGGCCTTCTGAGCAGGGATTCAATAAACAGGCAGCTATTTAGCAATAGAAACGGTCTTGAGTGCTTGCTGACATTCCCCAGAGTACAGCCTGGCCCCTCACCATTGCCCTTTAACATAGCTGCTCCTCCTTTGTCTGTCTTTGATGTTTGCATGGATTACTAGACAAGGATTCAAAGCATAATGGAATTAATCAATTAAAACTTCTACAAAGAAAAATAACTCACAATGTTAACATTCCCAATTGAGACATATCAACGTTCTTCAAACACTGCCTCCAAATTCGCATCACCCACTTAATGGTCACTGTGCCCTCACTATATGTGGAAATGAATGGATTTAATTATCAACACTTCTTATTTTCTTTGAACACACCCATTCTAGCTTGAATATGATGAGTAGTCTCAATTCTACAAGCAACTGAAGAGGTAAAGGGCTAACATAAGGCAAGATGTCTGCACTGTGGACATCAAGCAAAGGAGAGTCACACACCCAACACACAATAATCAGATCAACATACAATAATAAGCAAGAGGGAGGGAAATGCGTGGCCTGTCACCTTTCAAAATGAAGGAAAGTGTGGAGCTGGTGTACAGTCTCATAGTTACAATCTTTTATGGGTTGAATTGTGTCCCCCAAGTTCATATGTTGAAATCCCAACCCCCAATAACTCAGAATGTGACTCTACCTGGAGAAAGAGCCTTTCAATAGATAAATAAGGTTAAATGAGGCCATAGGGCAGGTCCTAATACCATGTGGCGTATGTCCTTATAAGAATAGATCAGGACACAGACACACACAGGGATGGCCACGTGAGCACACAGGGGTAGAGGCCCATCTAGATGCCCAGAAGAGGCTTCAGGAGGCCCTGCTGTGTGATACCTTGATCTAGGACATCCGGCTTCGAGAAGGTGAGGGAATAAATGTCAGTTTTGCAAGCTTCCCAGTCTGTATTCTGGTACAGAAACCCTGGGAAACTAACGCAGGCAGGGTGTGCTCCCAAACCAAACAAACCAAGGCTCCATGTGCAGAAAGCATGGATCCTCACGCATATTACAGGTGCACCCACACGCTCTCTTCTGGGCACCACCTGTCTTTAATCCACATGGTCCTGCAAACCCCCGATGTGGGGGTGCTATTATTGCCTTTCCCTTCCCAGCTGCACTCATCTGAGGACACCAGGCTGGTGAGCTGCAGAAGCCACATGATTGAACCCTGCTGGCCTCAGTACCTGCCTCTCTGGACACATGCACACAACAGTGAAAATACTTCCTGTTGCCCCTTCAAACAAGCCAGGAGATGTGTCTTTCTCATCTGCACCCACTTTCATTAGCTAGTTAATGGGAATCACAGAATAAGCCCCTGTGTGCAAGCAGGGATGACTAGTCTGTGGAAATGAAAGGCAGCAATAAGCAAACAAATACATTGGAAAACTTGTCCAAATGCTGTCAGGTGCTTTGCACCCCTTCATGCCCACCAAGCCACAGTCTTCTGTGGAGGGGCCTCACTCAGGTGGGCATGAGCAAGCAAGCATATGCAGGTAAGCAGCTGACAGGGAGGCAGCACCACCTGTTGGAAGGGCAAGTGGGACTCAAACACCCCAGGGCGTGACAACCTAGCAGCTGCAGAGGGGCACTGAGAAGCAGGCAGGAGTTACAAGGCATCAGATGGTCCAGGTAAGCCTGAACTGGGGTCATGGCCACAGGGCTGGAAAGGTGGGAGAGAGTGGAGAGGCCCTTCCCAGCTAGAAAAAAGGAATTAGAATTAAATTGAATGTTAAAGTCGATTTGTTAATTAAACCATCCCTGCTCTAACCTGTTTGGACTTTTAAAATCCTCCTAGTTAATCAATCTAAATGAATGCCAAATCCAGGTCAGTTCAGTGTCCGCTCTGCCTCTGAACCCTCCTCTGCAGCTTCCTTTTCCTTCTAAATTCAAAATTGCTTTGTGTGCACACTCTAAAAGCCATGCACAACCTCCCATTGCCAAACACAACTGGGCACATTAACATGTGCAAAAGCCCTCAGTTTACACTAAGCATTTCTCAAGGAGAACTGTCCCCTGGCTCATGCAGGCCAGGAACTAATTAGCATTGCCCCCAAAACCTACAGTAATAAAAGCAGAATCAATGAAATTTCGTAGATCAAGTGGCATCAAATTTAACTTGAGCACATGAAGAAGAGTGTCTGAAACAGAGAGTCTTTGAGAGGCTGGGTGCTTCCCTGTGAGCTCACCAACCACTAACTCTGAGCTCTGCAGGCCAGGGAGGGATGAGATGCTGCATCCCCAGGGGACCCGCAGGCAGATATTGTGGGGGGGAAGTGTTGGGGTCAGAACCTATCCCACTGCTTTTTGAAAAAGAAAGGTGGAAGAAATGGAGAGAAAGGCATTCATGTGGGAGGTGTGTATATGTGTCTGTGTGTGGGTGTGTGCAAGACAGAGAGTAGGTTGTCACCACCACCACCACCCCCCACATGGGGAAAGTCCTCCTACAGGCCAGGAAGCAGAGGAAGAGGGGAAAACATGAGCAAGAGCCTTTCCTGTGGTTTCCACAGGAAGAAACAGGAGAGGACACTTAAGATCTAGCCTCTAAGCACATTCCAAGGATCAGTAATTGCATGACTTAAAAAAAAGGAAAATATTCACTGTCATCTTCGGCCACGTCTGTGCCTTCTTATTCTTAAATCTGTGTTGTAAAGATCTTGGCATTTTGATCTTTTACTCAGGAATAGACTCTGATCTTGCTTCCTAACTACCCAATAGCTAAAAGCTAAGATTGGTGGCACAATCTCAAATAGAATATAAAACCTGCACTGGGCCCTCCAAGTACAGTGAGGGAGGTGGGCACTCGCCACTCAAATGCAGCTTCCAGGCCCTTCTGTCTTTGCTTCTGTGAGGCGTCAAATCCCATCTAGTGGGAATCAACGTGGTCGAGATTCCAGAACATGTGCAGCCTGATGAAGGGGTGAAGACATGCCCCAGGCAAGGTCCACCCAGGGGGATTTAGAGAGACTTAGAGTCTATGAGCAGAGACTTGTGCCTGGTAGGATGTGGCGAGGAAGACCTGGTTTTCAAATAACTAAAAGCTCTAGTTCATGAGTAACTGTTGCCAGTGACATTAAGGAGTAGAAATTCACCATGAGAACCATGGGATTGCAGGTATGTGTGCATGGAGACAACAGGCAGGCACGCTGACCTTCCTCTAAAGGGCAGTCACAGCGAGGAGCCTGAAGGCATCTAAGAGTGAGCCAGCGACAGAAGATGGCCATGGTCCTGCAGACCATGGTTTTCCCAGTGCAATGCGGGCAAGTCCACAGTGTGGCCCACAAGGCCACGGTCTTTCCTAAAGATCACCAAGTTTGGCATTTAGGTTGCCTGACCCACCAAGGAAGACAGCTTTCCCTTATCCTCCAAACCCCAAGTTGGCCTTATTTACCTTTCAGGAAAACAGAAAATGCTCTTCTGAAAACTGGTTTGGCTGAGAGTCCCCAGCCGCATGAGGCCAGGGAGGCTGCACGTGGTCTCCCAGGTGGGCGTGCCTGCCACTGCTCAGTTTTCCTTGGCCCAGCCACCTTCCTCAGGTGCTCACCCAATTCCCTTTCTTGCCTTGAAATATGACCCAGAAAATGGCACGTCTGCACACCAGACACCTCCCTTTTTTTTTTTTTAATTTGCTACCTTACAAGCTTCCAAGTGTGCAGGTGAACAGTGGGAAATCCATTCACACTGTTGTGCAGCCAACCTGCAGAACTCTTCATCTTGCAAAGTGGAAACCGTCCCCATTAAACAACTGCCCCAGCCCAGGGCTGAAGAAGGAAAGCCCTCAGACCTCACACTGCTCTGCCTCTGACTTGGGCCTAAGGATCTGCTTCCGTGGGACTCCCGTCTAGTGCACTGGAGGGCCACAGAGGGGTGGGGGGGAGCCCCAGCTAAGTGTCAAGAATCCTCGTGTCCAACTTGAATAATGGCAGTATTGCCACCAGGTTTCTCACCCTGCAAGTCCTGATGATTGCAAGGAAAATTCAGATCTTTCTGGATTCCTGGCTGCACTATATGCTTATCTCGGCATTGCTGAGGTCCACCTGTTGCTGCTGGTCTTTATGCTCATCTGCAGAGTCTGAGACATCGCCATGCCATGTCCGAAAACAGATTCTGTTTTATTAATTGTGTGTGCAAAGAGTGTGAGTCCCTTTTTTGGCAAATCCAGGATTTCCTTCTCCTTGTGAACGATTGTTTCCTGCTTCCTTTGGTCTCCCTGCTGTCTTCCTATCAGGCAGAGCACAGTCCTTGGGCCCAGCTGTGTGACCTCCAGGCTGACCCTGCCCCTCTTCCCTGCCCCTGGCGACCCCAGCTCCTCCTGCCACTGCCCTCACCTCCTGCAGCGTTTCCTCTCTCCCCAGTTTCTCCCACATTTCAAACCGACCTCCTATGTGCAGTTTGTAACAGCCTTTCTCGTGTTAACTGGCTACTTTTTCATACCCAGCTGCTTCCCACCCAGTTTCTTTTCACTTTGGCTTTCCGGATCAATTTTTTTAATCTCTTATCTCCCACAGTCCACTTTTTCTTTAATTTTACTCAAACTATCAACACAATACAATCTAAATTTTCCAAAATGAATCACACTTCTTTCTTATGCTCTCTTTCTAGCTCTCGGGGACCATGTATTCCTGCTTTTATGCAAAAGAGTCTTTTTAAGGACCCATTTTATTTTTGTTTTTACTCCTGAAATGACGCATGACTCTCCAAGTCTGTAATAGGATTTTGTGAACAGAATCAACTGTTTTTTTTTCTTCTGTCACTCCATTTCCTTTCTGTAGATGAGTGGAGTCTCTTATTCTTTAAATTCTTAATTTTAAAAGTTAGACACCACTTCAAATATGCACTTGCTTTTGAAAGCATAGAGCCAGAATCATTAAGTAATTTCAGCAAGAACATATACTACCATCAAAATGCTATTTTCTAAAGATTGGGAAAACTGTTTCTAAATATTTTATATCAAATGAACCGATCATAAATGTCACTTTTGCTTTTTTGGGGTGACCCAGGCATGTGGCACTTGGGCGTCCTCCCCCACTAATTAGCAGGGAAACCATTTCTGCCCTCCGGTCGCCTCCAGGGTACACTGGCCACACCAGGTCAGAACCAGCAGCACTGGAGAAATCCCACATCCATGACACACTGACAGTGCTGGGTTTGGGGTGATACTTGGCCTGCAACCCCTACACAGACCCCTCACTCTCGGCCTGGCTTCTACTGAGCCCTACCCCAATGACCTAGTTGATAGCAGGTCCCCTCACCCTGCTCGGATGTTCTCTGAGCCTCTGCCTGACCGTGATCCCCAGGGGCCAACAGCACATGTGCCTCCAGGCCCCCATCCTGATGCTGGAACCAGGGTCTTTGCTGTCCAGCTAGCAGAGTACACCTGCTGGGGAGCTGTGTGGAGGCTCAGGGGTCCACCCAGCACCCGGGCTCTTCTGTCCTCCCATGACCTTTGTTGTCTGACTGGGATTTCAGAAGCAATAGCTTTTCCTCAGGCGTTCACAGCTGCCTTTAAGACACACCCTCGAGCTCCCTTTTCTGATGTCTTATTTAAAGAATAAATCATTATGTTAATATTCATGTATATTAGTTCACAGTGCTTCTACGTTTATGTTCTCATGTTTTAAAGTGCAGAATTCTTACCAGGAATCAAGTTGCTCAAGTACCACCCACATAAAAAATAGATGCCTGAATCCAAGAGAATTATCCAGCAAACCCAACCGAATGCCATGCCCACTTGCTCCGGAGACTGGTACATATTATTCCACTGAATCCCTGCAAGGAATGGGAAGGTCAGAGTTAGAAACACACATCCCCGTGCCCTGTAAGTTTAGGCAAGGTGAGTCCATTAGCTGTGGAAGCTCAAGCCTGGCTGAACGCAGCTAAAACAACACCAGGGGCAACACCACTGGTGATAACTCTTCAAATGAAATGTTATCTTGCTGAATTTCACATTTATTTCAAGAACAGCAGGTGGTGTTACCTTCAAAAACACTTTAATATCTAACATTTAGGAATTTTTTTAAATATTGCTTTGTTTATATAAAGAATTATTTGCTTAATGAAAATGTAAATAAGCATATACACACATATATATGGGAAATAAGCATATTTTCTTAAATAAAGGAGACTCTTTGGAACCCAAACTCTAAATCACATTATTCTCTCTGCTTTTGGAAAATACATGAACAGGTTATATAAGATCCGGGGTGGGAAAGAATCATTATTTTCTTACAATACATTTGTGATTTTTGGCTGGATTAAAACACAGTTCATTTTAAGAAAAGCATTCCTCTTTCTCAGTTTTCCTATAGAAGTAGCCTAGAACTCCATAAAATAGGTGTTTTAACATTGTGTACTTGCAGGAATTTGGTCCAAAAGACTCAAAGCCTGTTGATCCAAATTAGTTTGAGGATGAGTTTGAGGAATTCAGGAGGCATCATTTAGTTACTCATCTGTTTAGCATAGCTGTAGTTCAGTACAGCTGGGAATGGGCCAACATGTTCTACTGAAAAGTCGGAGAACTAGTGTTGAATTAACCAGCAAATGTGACCACAGCCGGAGCTGGGTTTTACTTATGGCGTATGTTGTATCGGTAAATGTTTACACAACACACCACAGAAACCATATAAACATCTAAGAAATATAGTTCTAGTCTGGCTTAGGGACTTAATTATCAAAATCTTGACAGTGGTGAAAAATGCCGACAACAAAGTTTTTAAAACATTATTTTAGCTAAATTAATAGGGATAAAACATATAGAAATGGAAGAGAGAACTGTGCTCTATTCTACACTGGCTACACTGATTTCTGGACCCTCATGCTTCTGGAGGAAGGATCCAGAAAATCTGGAGGTAAAGATGAGAGCTGACAAATATGTGAATGACTGTCATGTGAAAGAGAGAAAACACTGGCAGGACAGCCCAGAAGACAGAGTCCAGTCCAATAATCCCTAGACTGTCACCATTATAACCAGTACGCGGGTGCACTCTCCATTGTTGGAAGAACTCAGGAGGCTGCTAAGCTGATCACATGTATGTTGGGTGTTTTAAGGAAGCCCCAAGTGCTAGCGGGGTGGCTGACTGGACAGGGTCTGAAGCATAGATACCATGGTCATTCTTCATTGTTGCTAATACCAGGGCAACTGGATGGTGGGAGGTGTTGGTATCAGCTAAGCCAAGTACCAGGATCTCAGTCCAGATTTCCATTTTATAATGAAGACCTTCCACTGTACCACTTACAACACGGTGACCATAAATTTCCAAATACCTGAATCTCTGAGAGTCACTTTTTAAAAATGTATCTCCATACCTGCTTCTTGTCCTTCCAGGAATGTAATGAAAAATACTCCTTGTCCAAAGGCGGTGGTGGAGAGGAGGCACTGCCCGTAGATTGAGGGAAGGAAGAGAGAAGCGGCACGTTAGTTACAAAATCCACAGCTCTAAACCCAAATAGAGAAGTCACTACACGTTCCAGCTCTAACGAGGCCAAGCCATTGCTCCAGGTGGTGATTTCAATATCTGAACCCGGAGACTGAGCTGAATGTCAGCCCACTCTGAAAGGCATGATAACAAGCTGTTGTTTAATGTTAAAAGGAATTATTTCCTTTTGCCGTAGTGCTTGAAGTGTCATAAATTCAATGCACTGTACACAGAAATGGGGAACACAAAACAGTGGAAAATGGAATAGTGCAATTTACTATTTTTTATTATGAAGTAAATGCCCTGGAGCACACTGCCAGCAGACTAAGGGAATGCATTCACTATTCTCCACTCAGAAGAGAACGCACTGAAGGAAAATGTGACTCTATTTCCAGTGGAGAGGTCCTATGTCAGAAAAAGAGCCCACTGAACTCTCACATCTAAAAATATAATATACCAGAATTAGATGTTTTATTTACATGAAAATATTTGCACATATAAAAAGGAAATAGAACTTCGTTTGTATAGATCCCTTCAATGTAAGCACTGAAGTAAAACCAAAAATAACAATGTTGGAAATTCTGGCCAGGTGGTCAGTGGTTTTTTTCTACATGTGAGGAGTATATTGGGAGGGGGGAGGGGGGAACTAAATATCTCAGCTGTTTTCATCATTCTGAAAACACCTAATTAACACTAACACAAAATTATTGCTGATGGATTATTACAGGTGTGACATTAGCTCATCAAAACTTATGAGTACACATCAATGTATAAAATACTGATTAAATAGCGCATTTTTCATTCTGCATGTCTATCTGTACTGTGTGTATATGGCCAGTGGAAACCATGGAAGATGGAAGAGTCTGTTGATGTCAGAGAAAAATAATTTGGCTTTTTCAGAAGTTTTTTACCTTGAGGGTCTCAATGAGCAAACAAGGTGACCCCTCCCACCAAATGGAGATACCTAGCTGTCACCATGTCACATGGGACAAAGTGACTTCTGTTGCCCTGTAGCAGCCCTGAGATGTTACATCTCCTGAACCTCCCCACTCCCTAGTGACGCCAATCATATCTCCCAAGGGACTGCATTGTGAGAAATTCACCTGCCTGCACGGGAAGAAAACCTTCAGCATGATGCAAATATTAGCAGTAATGCCCTGGCTCCGTGCAACTGTCCTGATGGTGCCTGTCTGTCCCCCACACACGGACTGAGTCCCACTACACGTCTGGCATTGTGCTCACCAGGCCACAGTCATAAAGGAATAAATGAGTTTCTGCTTTCTTATATTTTATATTTAGACCTGAATATATACTAATACTTTTTCAGGAGGTATATTTTAAATGGATGAATGATTCTGACATTGCTAACGGAGAGACCTTTCCACTTAATGTAACGTAATTTATTATGCTTCAAGAAAAAAAATGCTGATTTTTTACTTCTAAAATAGCCTTGGAAATGTGTCTTTCCATGCATGACACAAAGACATACTGAAGTCCTATGCTTCCTTTAGGCTGTTACTGATTTCTAAATGTCTTTGGAGAACAATCCCCATTACAGAAGAAACCCCAATTATAAGGGGCTTCCCTCCAGCAAAACCATTACGGCCTCAGGGATCTACCTCTGAAGGCCTGCCTCTATGGGAGAATAAAGAAAAGTAGGTATCAGAAAGCCCACATAGATCTGAAAATGACAAACTGAAACGTGGAGTGTGGTGACTTCGCTCCATCTGATAGAAATGGCAGTTGTGTCTTATTTTGCGCTCTTACAGAGCCACCCACTTACCAGAAATGTCTGAATGACAACACTTAATTGGCTGCGTAGAACCAACAGAACTATGTAGGGCAAAAAGCTGATCATGTACACCAGGCTGGTACAAAGGGCAGCTGTGTTTGCTTGGCTGAAAAACGCACTCAGGAAGTAACTCAGCATGACGGCTGACACCCCAAAATCCAGGAGGAAGAGGAAAATGATAAAGGCGTTGCTGTGTGCGAAGATGCCGCTAGTCTTCAGAATGACGGCCAGAGCAGCGCTGCTCAGGGTCAGCATGGCCATGTTCTCCAGGAACCACGCCAGGAAGTGGGTCGTGGGGTGTACGCCCATCATCCACATGTACTGAGAAAGAAGAACATGGAGTTACCTCCCGGGAGCCGGAGAAGGAGCAGGACGGGTCACGGGAAGAGAAAGCCTGCCGGGGGAAACACATGCGGCGCCCACACACCCGCCTGGAGATCCAGCCTGCTAAGCCATGCTGCCCAGCATCTCCTAAAGTCAGGCGTCTAATTATCAGAGCCCCTGACAGAGTAGGTCATTGGGCATGTTAGGGGCGCAAGAGCTGAGAGCAGGCACTGCTGTAACAGTGACAGCGGAGGGGCAGGAGCAGATCCTGGGCAGGAGCAGGTCCTGGGCCTTGTGTCCCACCCACAGCAGTCTCCCTGGGTTTCTTTGTTTGCTTGGCTTTTGTTGGTTTTGTTTCCTTTTTTGTTTCTTTTCCCTTTGATTTCTGTCGGGTTTGTTTAATAAAATTCTTCTGGGGGAATTACTGCAGAGGTTACAGAATGTGTTTCCCAAAATAATGTATAACAGTAAAATTTATTCATCCACTAACCCTACCGTTTGCTCATCTTTAACATCACGATGTCTTTGGGTGTGGGGCTGGTTACTTTCATTCAGGTGCACCCACGAGGACCTTTCATTCAGGTGCACCCACCCTGGGAGGCTGCCGGCCAGCAGCAGGCAGCCCAGCAAGACCCCCGACCCTGTGCCCAGGGGCCCAGTTGGACAAGGAAGAAACACAGAAACCCCAGAATAAGACAGTTCTAAACAAGTAAACATGCAAAACAATAGTGCACAGTCTAATCTACACTGAATGAAAAGCACATGCACCTTACCATGCTCTCCCTTGGCTTTAATGGATATTAAGTAATTATATAATATGTGCCCACTATCTCACTGCTTCCCTCTTTGCTGGGCTAAAGGGCGAGTGAACAAAGCATCTTTCAGGCCTTTACCGGATACTTCTGTGAATTTTCATTCTTAAACGCAGTCTTGATAGTTTCAAATTTTAACATTATTAGGACCAAAACAGCAAAGCTATATATACAGACCTCTAACTCTAAATTCACATAGAAAGTCTGCCGTTATATCTTCCTAGGTTGGATGAAAACTGCCGAATGAGCAGCACAGGCTTCCCCCGTTCCCCTGTGCCTGCCTCTCTGGCTTCCTCACCTTGACAGGGAATATTTGTTAAACTCCCGCAGGGCTTGAGACTTCAGTATAAAATGATTTTTCTGGGGCAGGGACACAGCTAGGCTGTGCACAGAACCGCAGCAGAGGCAGGGAAGGCCAAACAGACCCTGGTGAGTTGCAGGACAGGATTCATCTCCAAAGCCCGAACCTCCCCTCCTCACCTCCCGGGCAAGCTCCAAGGCCACGTACCTCTTCTATCTGGATCTCCCGCTCATAAACCAGCTTTCGGACCATGCTGGCCACAGACACCATCCACGTCAGCATCATTATCAGGGGGAAAAAGAAACCAACGTTGTTCAAGAATCTGTAAGGAAACAATTCAGTCAGCACCTGAGGGCAGGCGGAGCAGCTCTACCCGGAATCAGGCTCAGGGTAACATACCCGGGCATGGCTTTTAGGTTATCCTTACAGGCTACAGAGCACTTTCAGGAAAAAGAGATCCTTGGGCCATTCCAACAGGCTTGTGGCTTAGGCAGGATGGCTGTTTGCTATCCTGATTTAATAGGTGTGCAAACTCACAAAGACGACACAACCAGTTTTCAAGGTTCCAGACAAGCCATTGCTCTTGCTGTCCTTTCTGACCCCCTTTCAGGCAGAGCAGGTGGGAAGAAGGCGACCGCTCATTAATGCATGACTACAATTTACCCCATTAATTGGGACCATTGTCTATCTTCAGTCAATGACACCCATTGATCATAGATTACCACCTCTAAGATAAATGAAAACTGGCCATTGAAAGTCTCCAAAACTCAGCTTTCAACCCACTCTAATGGGGCTTCTCTTTCTAATGTGCACATGAAATGAACCTTGTCCAGGGCACCAATGACAGCCAGGCCTCAAATGCAATGGAAATGTTCTCATCGTTTTCCATCTTGACTTCCCAGCTATGACTGAGATCGTAGGACGGGTCCCTCCTTCTCTCTCCTTTGGGTTCCAGAACCACCCTCAGCTTTCTAACACCCTTCTCAGTCCCCCTTAGTGGAGAATTCTTTCCTCCCCTTTACCGGTGGGCCTTCTCAGCCACCCTGGGCTCCGTCCCCTCACCTTGTAGCTCTGAGCTCTGGATCCAGGTGATTCCTCCCAGAGACCAACCAAAGAGACAGGCCACTTTGCTGGGCATGTGACACATGATGACCAGAGGAAGGTCCTGCTGTAAAGGATCCCACATCCTAGTACCACCCCCCAGGGGGGACAGGGAGACTTAAACTAAGTCAATGCAGAGATAGACAACATTATGGCAAGTCTGTAAGAGAACAGTGTTCTTTTGGCAACAGAGAGATGGGAAGTTATTTCAAACAGGGGAGTTAGCCAAGGTAGCTGGATTTATTAAAGAACAAGGGAATACCAAAAAAAAGAGTTTTGGAAGGGGGGGAGAGAAATTGAGGGGACATATCAGGTGTCTGGCTTTAAAAAAAAAAACTAAACTAAGCATAGACAGTGGTGCCAAGAGAAGAAGCCTATTAAGAGGGAGTCAGAAGCTACTATAAAGTTGCAGCAGTCAAGACAAAAGATAGCACCTGGAGAGATGCTGGTCCTGGAGAGAGGAACATCTCACTGGGCTCCTTCTGCAGAGCCTCCCAGGGCTCAAGGCATCCCCTTCAGAGCATCATCTGCAGCATGGACCATCTGGAGGACTAGCGGTGTCTGCCCTTCACACTGGACAGCGAGCCCCTCAGGCAGGCCTCCCCCTGCACCTCCTCTGCTTGGCAAAGACCAGCCACAGAGTGGAAGCCAAGCATTTGTTAATAAAACCATGAGCAAGTAAACAAGAAAAGGGAATTAACCACTATGCTTTTATTTCTTTTTCTGATTAAGATAACTATAATGAGCCATCATATATAAAACTTGGAGAATCACATTTTTAAGTTAAATACAGTTAACTTGCACTCTGTACAGTGGCTATTTGCAGAGGGCAGAGTGCTTTAGACTTTCAGTTTTGTGATTTTATGTTTTTTCTCGTCATTGTTTTCTATAGAGTTCAGTGTAGGTAGGAGTCTCCAATCAGGAAGTACCGTAAACCATATCCACTTGCCATCCCACAAATGACACCTATTCTCCCAGAGTGACATTTCTGGCACAGAGATGAAGCTCAGATTACTTGTAAAGTTAAAAACAATGAACACAGAATTTATCTGGGGGATAGGGTGAAAAAACTGTCTGTTTGTTCATGGGCTTTACTATTCTTTGCTTAACAGCATTGGAATTGATGGCTGTTGAACTCTATTCTTTAAGCAACTTGAATCTTACAAGAGAGCCAATAAATATCATGCGCAAATATTATCTTAGGATTCTAATTAGTAATAATTCTAGGATACTGCCTAGAATTCTGTAGTTATGTGTCTGGGGCTGTGATATGTATGTCCTATGGACCCCTACATCATTGTAAAGGAGAAAGGCATGAAAGACTCAGAATTGGATAAGTCCAATGCTGGAATTTTTGGCACAGCTACCCCAAATCACAGAGAATGTCCGGACACCCTATACATACATGTTTGAGTGAGGCCATTTGGTAGAAATTAAATGTAATAGAAATTGGAGATGAGAAATTGTATTACCTGGCTATGTTACTCAGCTCCTTCCTGATTCAGAAACACTTCCCAAATCAGCGAAGGGAACAAGTTACATTCCAATTTCAATTAATGTTTGGAAATATTTGAAAAAGCTGCTAAAAATAATCATGTTCATGTGGGAGTCACATAAAAGAGTAGGTAAGAGAGCTGTCAGAAGCAAAGTGCTGCCCTCGGCAGATCCAGAATGTGCAGTCAAAACTGCACTTGTGAAAGCCTAGGGGCACCCTGGGGGCATGACACATAGAGCAACAGCGTTAAGCGGGTGCCAAGCTGCATGCAGAGCTGGGTGAAATCAGAAGCCATTCCTAGTCCTCAACCCTCCTTCCAGGGAAATGGGAGAAGGTCATGTGCAGAAAATCTGTATTTGCAGGAAGCATGCGGTCTTTGTGGCCATTGAAAGGAAAGAGCCTGTGAGCTGTGTAGCCATTAATGTCACCTGGACCTCACCACTACCTGGACCCTCTTGCAAACAACTGGTCAAGAATACCCAGTTTATTCAAAATAAATAATCATCTAGCACACTGAAGCAAGAAATAAAAGGTTATCAGAGTTACACAATTACTAAGAAATGAAGACATACCAAGCACATGGTAACATGGAGATGAAAACAGTGAACACATTTTTTGCCATCAATTTAAAAATTTTTAATAAGGCAACCCTTTCTATAAAAAAAAACACCATTCAGCCGAATTTGTTACAATGATGAGATGGCAAGACAGCAAGATTTGAAATGTTACTGGAAGAACTTGGAAAGAAACAGAAGGAAAAAAACAGCCATCAGACAACCGAACATAAAATTAGCCAAGGAGTGAGGGTAAATTGATGCCACACAAAATACAGCAAAGAGGCATAGAAAACAGACACAGAAACACAACTGGGGAAAGAGAAATGAATAAAGTTTAAAAGAATTAGGAAAATTTTATTTGTAAGAAACACAGACAAAAGAAATTCATGCAATTGGAGTCCCTGAGAGGGAAAACCAAATATACTGGAAGATAAATTGCAATGTTAGAATACAACAAGCATTTCCAGAAAAGAAAATTTAAATCCACATATTGAAAGGTCTTATCTTGTACCATGGAAAATTGTCCTAGAATGATCAACAATGAAGTATGTCTTGGTAAATGTATTGAATTTGCAAGTTATTAGAAACTTACCCAAATTACCAGGTCATATAAAGGCAGTAAAATATCAAGGCAGCCTCAGATTTCTCCATAATAACCTTCAAGGCCAAAGATAATGGAGCAATTTCTATAAGATACTTAAGGAAAGAGTGAGCCAAGAGTTTCCTATCCAGCCAAACTGTCTTTCAAATATCAATCTTCTAAGAGTTTTAAGTAGGTAAGAATTCAGGTCATATTATCTCATGAGAGCTTCTTAAGGAAATTACTAGGAGACAAATGTCAGCCCACCAAGGACTGGGGAGTTACCATGACAGGGTAATGGTAAGCCACGGACATATTTTCCAGTAAAATTAAAAAAGAACCAAAAATGAAAACTAAGATTACAAGAAAGGCTGAAATGTTATGTTTCCTGAAATACAGAAATGATACAGCAAACAAAGATTGGCAGGTGCGAGGAAATGAGTCAAGAGCAGAAAACTCGGTAAGTGAAGGTCAAAATCAAAAGCTATCTGTTTAACACTGACAAATGTGGAATATAAGCATAGGCAGCTTTCACTGTACAAAGGAAGACATGACATGAGAGAACATACCAACTAAAACCACATGATGGAGAAGAAAAATCAATGGTAGAGGAGAAAGATTACTTCGTTTTTATTTCTCATGGTAAAAAAAACAAATAAAGGGTTGATATTATTTATATAAAGTTATAAGGTAACCACTAGAACACAGTGAAGCATTACTAAATATTAGTTTAAAAGCAAAATTATAATGCAAGATGTACCTATGACCATGTTTACATGAAATTTCATTTCACACGATTAAACAACTAACCTCCCCTATATAAGAAGCTATATGAGGTACACAAGAGACACACCTGAAACAAAACACTTCCAAGATGTTTAAATGAATGGATGGGCAAAGGTTTATCAAACAATGGGAATATGGGGTGGAGGCAGGGGGGATAGAAAAAGGAAGAAAGAAAGAAAAAGCAGTGGTCATTGATTTAATTCCATTTACAAGGCACAATTATCTCTGCAAAGCATTAAAGAGGACTCAAAACGCAGTTATGTATAACTGTGCACAAAGTAACACACCATCACCATCCCAAAGGCCACAGGAGAGGGGCAACCATACTGCAGGGACTACAACCCATCTGTCTTTCTCTAGGACAAATATAAAGGACACAAGTAAAGGACAGAGAATTCCTAAATATGGAAATTCATTTAGATCAAATTCTCTACTCTAAAAATAGGAGATTAGAAATTATTTTCAAGTGTCCAAAAATCATTCAAAAAAGATTATGTTTTAGTTGACACAGAAAAAATTCCCTAAATCCAAAAAGTGAAAATGATCAAGATAATATTTTCTGTTAACAATGTAAAATTAGGACTTAGCACCAGAATTTAGTAATTTAGTGTGTGCTACAATTTTTGGATTTTGTCAATCTAAATTTTAAAATGCTACCACACTGTAATCTTAATTTAAATTCTTCTTATTAAAAGTAATCTGAGTAACTTTTCATATGCTTAAAATTCCTAAGAATTTCCACTTGGGAATTAAAAGAAACGTTACTTAAACAGGTCTTGGGTCAGGAAGACAATAGAAATCCT